ATCCATCCATGGGTCTATCCATCCATGTGTCTATCCATCCATGGGTCCATCCATCCATGGGTCCATCCATCCATGAGTCCATGGACCCATCCATACATCGGATGGCTGGATGGTCCCCCAATTTAATGTTTTGTGACCCACAGTGGGACAATCTTGAATTGGATAAACTCCAAATGTTAACCCTTTGTAGATTAACATCCAGTGATTACTTTTAAAAGGTTGAACTAAAACCAGTCAAGTAGTTCACGAGATATTTTGCTAACAGACATAGTACTGACAGTAAGAGCTGTTGACAATGCTTTAAAAAAAGTCTCACAATAAGTGTGTTGTAAATGACTTCTAGCTGGCAGCACACCAACATTTAGACCCATCTCTTTAAATATGACTAAGTTGGGATTTATTTGATGTTGGTTAATGTTCATTAGATGAAGTGGTCATTTTGAATTGTGTTGCCTAAAAGATGATCAGGTGTAGATGCACATGCAGTGATCATCAGTCCCTTCTGGGTGGCTTCATTATTACAGGTCTCTCTTGTAAATGAGTCCTCGAGGCTCAATGAGACTAACCTGTATAAATAAAGGTTGAATGAATTTCCTGAAAGCTTCACTAACTTTCATTTGGTGTTTCATGAGATATTATGCTAACAGACGTACACAATCAACTCCATTTATAGTAATGGCAAAAATTAAAAAAAGATTTTACTTTACAATTTAGCAATTAGAGTGTGTGTTGGGGACCATTCAGCTGTAGCTACAACAATTTTTTTTAAATATCATCTGTAAAATCTGCTGAGTTTAAGCCAGATTTGTGTTCAGTGAGGTCCAAAACGCTATGGTGGCCATTTTGAATTGATACTCCAAAAATTATTCAGCTATAAACTTAGATCCAATTATTATTACTTAAAATGGTATGGACTGTATAGCACCTTTCTATCTAATTAAGATAATCAAAGCTCTTTACAACACAATCTGTGCCTCATTTACCTCCAACACACACATTCATCCAGCACTCTACATCTATACAAAGATAATCTGAACAAATCATTCTAAAGAGACTAAGTGCTTTTAAATCACATTCACACACTTATGGGACACACATCAGAGGCAGTGAGGGGTTCAGTGTCTTGCCCAGGGACACTTCAGCATGTGACTGCTGGTGGAATCGAACCCCCAGCTATCCCACTGGAGGACAACTGCTCTAAACACTCATCCACAGTATGAGCAGTTTCTGCTTGTCATTAAATTAAATACATGACGAGTTAACTATCTTTCTTATTTACGATCTTTGTCCCCTGAGAGGGGTCCGAGGACAAACGGAAGTGAGTAGGAGTGAACCATCTTGCCGTTGTTTTACGCTCTCTGTCCGGTCTCCACATCACCACCTCCATCATCATCGTCCTCCTCCTCCTCCATCAGCAGCAGCCCCGCCCAGCCCGCATCTGTCTGTGTGTCTGTCAGCCCCGCTCAGCCGCTCCGTCCCCCTGTGGCGCCGCGGCATGCTCACATCCAGACCGGCTCCAAGTTCAAACCAGTGGATTTTATCCGGTGGGGCGCCATTATTCCCAGCACCATGTCCGAGGTGCGGAAATTCACCAAGAGGCTCAGCAAGCCCGGGACAGCGGCGGAGGTCCGGCAGAGCGTGTCGGAGGCTGTGAGGAGCACCGTGGAGCTCGTGGTGAGTCCGACCCGCTTTAACTAACCCGGACTCCAGCTGGACCTGTTAGCGTGCTAACTCCTCTCGGGCTCATTGTGAGACAACACAACGTTTCAACCCAAACGAACCGGGTCAAAGTCTCTGTTGGTGTTGATGGTTCTCAGGCAGCGGCTGTCCCCCTGTCCCCCTGTCCCCTGTCCCCGTTGCGGAGGTACAGAGCTCGGCTTCATGTTGACCTCTGCTGTACTTCAGCAGCTGATGGAGGAGGAACATGAGGAACACAGAGCTTTAATTCAGATCACAGGTTTCCCGCCTTCCTGTCAATTAGCTGCTGTTTGCAACAAAGACACGTTATCCCCAGACCCACATGTAGACTGGTTCTCCTTACTGGGTCGCCTTTTGTTGGACAGCTGTATGGCTTCCTGCTGCATGTGCACCTCTTTATTCTGCTGAAAACCCCACGTGCAGCTCAGGAGAGCCCAGTCTGCTTTAGAGTCAGGGCCATGGTTGTGGAGTTTAAAATTGTGGTGATAGTTGTACAGTTGCATGTCAGGGCTGTGGTTGTAGAGTTGCATGTCAGGGCGATGGTTGTGGAGTTGTAAATAAGGGTGATGGTTGTTGAGTTGTAAATCAGAGCGATGGTTGTGGAGTTGTAAATCAGAGCGATGGTTGTGGAGTAGTAAATCAGAGCGATGGTTGTGGAGTTGTAAAT